AAATTGTTGACCGATTGTTGAAGACAGCTCTATGAACGGCCGACATTGCAACAAATATTCATTTCGTACTTCTATATAAGTTACCTCATAAAAGTCTTGTACCTGTATAATAAAAGATTAATATTTTTTTCTAATTGTGAGTTTATTTATTTTTAAAATTAAGTTTATCAATAAGTATAAAAAAAATTATTATTTTCTACTTAAATTATATATTTGTTTACAAAAAATTTTTTTAACATTATATTTTTGTTAAAATTTTAAGCCCTTAGCTTTAAGTTCATCCCATCGACGAATCCACTCGTTTGGACAAATAGATTGAAAAACTTGTTTGAACCATGTGCATGTAGCTGTTCCTTTTCCTAAAATCTCTTCACAACGATCGAAATCGGTATACATTATAAAACAACGTATCGTTTGATTCTGTTGTTGAAATCTGAATAACAATATTGAAAATTATCATTATTCAGAATATCAAGAAAGTTAATTATTAATTATAATTATAAATATTAATATAAATATAAGTAAGAATAATAAATATTATCAAATTTACCTTGGATCTTCACCGAAAGTAACGTCTGTAACTTCTTCTTTTTCTTCTTCTATTAAATCTCTCTCTTTAAGACATGGATCATCTTCATCTACTACTATAGTTATTTTTTTCTTCGGTTTTTTTTCATCATTAATTTGATTACCTTCCAAATTATTCATATTATTCATATTATTTATATTTTTTTCTCGAAAAATAGTTTTCATTCTATCCATTTTAATGTTTTCATCAGAATTCATAATATTTTAAATTCATATTTTAATTTTTATAAAATATGTTATTTATAATAAATTATTTTATAAGACACAATAAATCGAATTAAAGAAATGTGATATAAAAAATTAATATAGATGTAAATATTAATTAAGATATATTTTATTGTATTTTGACAATTTTAATTTTTAAACGTAATATATATATAATATATATATATATATTATATATAAATATATATGAGTATATATAAAACGCCCTCTAGTATACAAATATTTATTATC